TGTGGCACGAACCCAACGTCCTTTATCCTTGAACTTTGATGAATCCTGAGTCCAAACAAAAACCTTCTCTCCTTGAAAATATGGACCGTCACTTGGCATAGTCCTTCTTGCAAGATCTGCTCGAAGGTCCTGAGCTTGTCGTGCTTCTTGATGAGCTCTCAGAGCTACACGTTGTAGTTCCAGATTTGTACGATCTTGTGCGGCTGCACTAGCTGACAATTGCTCAGGGCTTGCGGTCTCAAGGTCAAAAAGATCTGGTGGACGTCTTCCAGTTGCTATCTCTATTGGTGAATATCCACTGATAGTCAACTGACAATTTCTTGCCCACACTACTTTCTTGACCGCTTCTCTGACCGTAACACCACGAAAACGTGGGTCATCCAGATCTACTTTCATAACATGCCACATACGTTTGAACAAACGTACAGCTGTCTCTGCTCGGTTCGGCCAAGGAGTTCTTGGTCCACAAGGACATTGTTGTATACCATGAAACCTGTAGTATTCAACAAAAGCATCTGTGAAAAAGGCTTCGTCTCCTACGATGGCCTTCGGAACACAATTGTTCTCATCAGACCATTGTCTCAATGCTTGGATGGTTGTTTGATCTATGAGGTCTTTCTGTGCCGTAGCCCAGAGAAGATTTGTGGCACCATCAAGAACAAGTAGAATGATATACTTGTTCTTGTGAAGTTCAACCTCACAATGATCAGCAAAAACAACATCACCAAAACATGAAGCTCTAATACCGGAGACTCTGGCTCGTGGCGGAGGTGCCACTGAAGTGTTACAAACACGGCAGTTCCTGACAACTGATTCATACTTCTCTAAAACAGAGTCAGGAAGCTTCAACATAGAAACACGCCTACGAAACTGAGTAGGACTCATATGGTAGTGCTTCACATGAAGCTTATAAAGCTCTACCTTGTCCTCCAGTCTCTGCAACATCTTCCTATATGCCGGTGTCATTGCAACAACTTCACTACCAGGTAATGGGATTGAAATCCGCCTAGGCTCAAGAGCGCCATCACCTGGTTCAAGTGGTTCATGTTTATCACTTGATTGTCCTTTTGATGCTTTAGGAATTTCTACAAGTTCACCTTCTGGCCTCTCAGGTGGTTCTGAAGGAGTATACCCCTCAGGATCATCACCCTTTAAATCATGTGGAGGCTCAGATGGTTTCAACTTGTGTCCTTTCCAAAATGGATCAAAACCCTTGGATGTATACCGAAACTTTGGCGGCACAGGCTTTTCCGCGGCACTGGCTGGTACACCTTCCTTCTCTGAAGAGAAGCCTGGTTCCCTGTCCTTGGCAATGGGAACCTTCTCTGAGGAGGAGCGCACCACTGCATCGGGATCACCAATGCCACGGTGCTCAATGCCAGCCTTCCTGATCTTTAGATCTGGAATTTTGGCATCTGGCTTGAACTTAAAAATTGTTCTACCACGCCATTCATAGCCAATTTGTAGGTCCTTCCATTTTGCCTTGCGCCAATCATCTTGCTTCTTGATTTCTTCTCCTCCTTCTTTCTTCTTGATGATTGTCAGTCGCAAGTCTTCCAGCAAGTCAGTGTCTACAGGACAGGACTTAGTTGCTGGGAAAAGAATCTTCCTGTAATCCTTGTGGTGACGTATCAGTTCTCTTGTGTGAACATCTACTTCCCAGTAATCAACCACAGGATATGCATGCTCAGCTTCATCTTCATCACTATTGTGATCAACAGAAATATGGCCATATTCATAGTGAGTGAACTGAGAGTAAAAACTCTTCTCACGCCGAGCCTGCAAACGCACGTCAGACAAATACCATGCGATATCTTGGAAGTCCAATACAAGATGAGTACTGGCTGCAACCTTCAACTCCAAATATTTGATACCAAGAGGCACCGATGTCAGATGAGCATGTTGAGGTGTCAGCCTGAGTTCAAAGCCTAAGAAGCTCATAAGCAAAGGGACTTCTCCTTCTTCCACTATGTCGAACTCTGTATTGTGGATCGTCCATGCACGATCATACATGTAAATCACCAGTTTCTGAGAGCAAGAAGCCTTCTGAGAATTGGCAAAGTAAAACTTGCTCTTGGTAGCCTCAAAAGAGTACCATAATCCACAGTTTGGGTGATTGTCGACATAGTTACAAAAATAATCGACTGCACGCCTTGATCCCATCGCTCTAGTGCATCCAATGTCCAGGATTGCAATAGTTGGCGGGAAGCGATTCTCAGTCAAAAATGAAATAGCCTGCGTCTCTCATAAGCGCAAAGCCATCAGGAGCACTTGTGAGCATCTCCTTTGACAAAGAGTACCTCACAGGGGCACTCATGTCATCGAAGATCATCTCACCATTGTTGACCTTACAGTCAGCTTCATCTTGACATGAGGTCATCATGCCTGACAGCAAGTCCACCTCACTGTCATGGACTTCAGCTGCTGTTGTCACACAATGCGCAAAGAAACCTTGGTGGCTTCCTGATGCTTGTGAAGATCTTGAAGGTGCAGGCAAAGAACGTGGCTGTTGTTGATTTGCATAGTTTGCATCTTGTTTGCCATCTCCTTTATCTTTTCCTTTTCCTTTCTTGCCTTTTCTCTTGCCTTTTCCTTTTCCTTTGTGGGAAAACCATGCTTCTTCAAGTTGTTGCCAAAAATCATGGACATCTTCATGTTCTCCTTGAAGATAGTCATTCATATCTTCGGCAAGAATAGCATCATATGCTACTTGATTTGACTCCCAAGTGTCCTCATAAGGATTTTCTTCAAAATACTCATCTGGATAAGTTGTCGATTGCTCATCAGCATAATGGCCTTTACCTCGTCTCTTCCCTTTTCCTTTTCCACGAGGTCTGAAAAATCTGCGGCCTGATCTTCCTTTGCCTTTTCCTTTTCTTCGTCCTTTGCCTTTGCCTTTTCTGGCTCTTCTTCCTTGGAATCTCCTCTGGAACCAAGAGAAATTCTGTTCATCATATACCCAAAAGACATCGTCCAGGGCATCAAGAAATCCTTCTGTTCCATCTTCTTCGTCTTCGGCCCAATAGCCATAAGTACCATCGAGTTCTCCTTCATCAAGCACGAGGAATGATCTTCTACCTCCAGCACCTGTCGGCTGCATCAAAGGATTGTCTACTGAAGTCTTTGTCGTGCAGAACATCTCAATGAAAACTGTCCTCAACTCTGCTATGGTGAATTGCTGCAGGACTCTACCACGATGAGTCATCAAAGAGGTCAAAGTGTTCCTCTGGTCCTGAGACAAATCTGCAAGTGACAGCATGAGTAAGGCAATAAGATTTTCTCCCAAGGGAAATTCATTCTGATGAAAGGTTCTCAAATTGCCATTGATATTCTGCATGATTTCCTGAATTCTTTCCGCTGTTGGAGGTACTCCATTCATCATTGTATCAGCTTGCATCTGAACTTGTACTTGAGGATGTGCTTGTGTAACCGGTTCCAACATGTCCATCCAACTGCTCATAAGCCTGTTGAGTAAAATCTGAAGTCTTGTCATCCATTTCATCATGTCAGCTGATCCGCGATTGAAGCGCACGAATTGCATAAACCTATACAGGAATACATTGGTTGATCCCTTCACAAAATATGGTCGTAGTATTCGTTTGAAATATTCTACTCCAGCTCCTGGTGGATCATTCGCTTTCAATGCATCTCTGTCTAAAACTCTTTTGTATACAGCTGCTTCTCCTTCTAATCTGTTTCTCAATGCTGGTCCTCTCTTCTCATCCTCCAGCTCGGTGATATCACACCAATCGTCTATGGCATCCTCATAGGAAAACCATGAAGTCTTTCCATCATAAGATGGGGGCACCTTTGTAGTGACCTGTGTTGTCATTGCTATCGCTGCTGGTTCTCTTCTCACATGCCTATTCACCTAGGCTGCTGGCTCATAAGCCACATCCGCATCAGGCTCTTCCCAGTCGTCAATCCAATCCATGGCCGTTTGCCTACAAGCAATTCTATGCCTAGGAAAGGAGCTCACCTGGGTCTTCCAGGATCACTGCTCCGCTACCACTGAAAGAGTGACTAGGGCGTACACGGTTGAGGTGCAGACCGCTAGTGTCTTTTATGCGCAGAGTCTTATCCTCTTGAGCCTTATGGCAGTCAAGTATGGACACACTAGATAGGCCACTGGAGTGGAACCTGTACAAGTAGGCCTCTACATTTCAGGGGGGGGGGGTGGGGGGGGGGGGGGCATGTTGACGTTCCTGTGACGTTGCACACTGGGTTGGATGCTACGTTGTGCTATGCTGGTGACGTGGCACGGGGGGGGGGGGGGGGTGGGGGGGGGGGGGGGGCCTGTTCTGGTTTTTTCGTGTTTCAAGCGAATTTTGGTCCAAGTTTTGGACACAGAATTTCCGATTTACAAGAGGTTCCAAACCCTCTTTTCCATTGTTTTTTGCAGTGGATTTGCAACACCTCTGAAGTTGGCGTGCTAAAACGCACGCGCGGTTTTAGATCCGCCGGGATGTATATGAGGTATAGGCGTAATTACAGCGCATACAATCGTGCATTGATGCTTGCATCTCCAGAAAACATGTCGATTCTCCTGTACCACAGGTCCCAGCACGCTACCATCGGAGAGTTCTCGCTAGCGGCGTGTGCACCGGTCATGGGAGCGCCGAAACTCACGAACCACATGTTGACTATTGACTATTATGTTGCTAGTAGTAACAGGTGCCACGCTAGTAGTAACAGGTGCCTTACTAGTAGTAACAAGGACGCTACTAGGAACAAGTGCCTTATAGAATTACCTCACCATCTAAATGGTCAACATACCTCCCTGTGGAGGGATTGATGAATCAAAGAGTCAAAATTACGGTAAACACGCCCCCCCCAATCGTGGCAGGAAGCCCTTCATGCCCTTCCCTCCATCCCAAGCCCGACGAACGCGTCGTCGCCAAATCGCTCATCGCTCTCGGTCGATGTAAGCGGCAGTCGACACTTCACGCGGCACGACGTACGACTCGCGGCGGTCGACGGTACGCGGCTCGACGGACCGCGCCTCATCACAAAACCCGACAAGCCCCCCTGAAGGCGGCTCTTGAGATCATGTCGACGTGTGAGGCGAGAATAGCTTCGACCTCATTTGGCACATCATCTTCTTAGCCGGAAGACGTGTGAGCGCCCCGGCGAAAGCGCGTCGGCGCGTCTACGAAACCGAACACAGAGGAATAACACAACAGCGATGTGCTCAAGAATAGCCCTGATTGCGCTCAAAGAAGCACCACAATGCTCTCAGGCTGTTCATACCGCGGTTCAATCCTATCTGAAATCGTCTGTTTGCTTGTGTCAACTGCTGTCTCAGCTTCCGGCTACTGATGCTGTTCAAGTTCCCTCGATCGGATGTCTTTCTCCTGGCACCTCAAAACGACGTCTGTCTCGACTCAAACGGCCTTCGACACCGTTTGCCGTCCTTCTCCTGACTCCATGTGTTCCGCTTTGAGCGGCGGTCGTCGTTTGGTGTGTTCCGCTTTCGCCGGTGCTTTCTGTTTCACCTTGTCCGCTGCCAAGGAGCGCAAAGCATCGGATTCCTTGGAGGGGAGAAAAAAACCGAATCGGATGCCACACTGAGTGTGGAAATCTGCCAGGTGCCAACACCATGACTTGGGTAAAATCGCAAAAAAAGACCTTGGCATGGTAAAGAAGCGGTTAATTAAATGGGTATTCATTTGGCATTGGATGCTGGTGCCTATATATCTGCCCAGTCCTAAGCGTACTTCTTCACCCAAAGAAACCCAAAGGCTGATATTTCCTACATCGCGCCCTTGCCTCAGCAATCATCCGACTGTGAGCAGATGATAGTAGATTTCTCTCAATCACGTTCTTCGGCTAAGTGGCCCTACGGCCCTACCTAGAAATATGCAGTAGACACAAAAAGCACCACCACCTACCACCCACCTACCACGCATTACCACCCTGGGCCGCTCGTTCGGCCCAAACCGCTCGCCACACACCGAGGCGCCGCTCGCCACACGTCGTGCACGTTGGTCCTCGTGAACTCCGCCGGCGACGACGCTGTGGGACTCAGCCCCAGGCCTGGACGCTTCGGGACGCGCGTTCCACGGCGCCGTGGCGGCGGACGACGGGTCCTCCCGGTGGGCGACCCAAGCGGTACAAGCACATGTGGAGTGTTTGGAGAAAACGGGATCTGTGGTGCACTGCAGTGCAGTACGAAGTTGGCAACCGTTTTCCCCGTTTTCGTCGTTTTCGGCTGGTTTCGGCCATGTTGGTCATCGGCGTCCCAGTGGCCACTTCCAGTGCCATCGGTCAGAGTCTGCGAGACTTCACTGACACGTATTCGTACCTGATTCCGCTGCACGTTGCGGATCGCGGGTCAAGCTCAACAACAGAAGAAAAGTAGAAATTACATGAAATTACACTAGACCGTCATACTTCTGTCAACCCACCAACATCCTCTTTTGGCAGGGCCGGAATTGCCATGCTGTGTTTGAAGTTCCTTGATGCATGCTGTGTTTGGTCTTGCTTTTTTGGAATCATGTTGTATTTTTCATAAAAAACATCAACTCAATTGGGAATCACCGTCAAAAACAGATGCATCACTGCATCACCGTCCAAAACAGACCCCATGTCGGGGCGGATGTCCCACGAACGGAACAGGCTGTCCGGAGAGACTCCTTGTGACTCTATACCTATTGGTTTCCGTTCAGAGGTCTTTGGAGAGAATTGGTACATACCGACCCCAGACACGACTAATGGGACTGCCATGTATGCCGATCAATGTGGGGTGGTGCCAGGGGGTACATGGCAGTCCTATGGCAGTTCTATGGCAGTCCATGGGTCGCGTCGTACATGACCCATGTGTCACAACGAAAACGACGGCCGCCCGTCCCTATGAGGTCATCACCTCCAAATGACACACGACTTACAGAACATTTGAGTGACAAAAACTATGATACGTCATATAGGTATACCTCTTGCTTCATGCGACTTAATCCGATGCTTCGGACCCCCCAATTGCCCCCCACAAAAGGAGCCGAACCACCTTGAAGACCCCCGGTCATCCTCGGTCCAACGCTACGCTTTGGACCGCGAAACCGCCCCCCGTCTCCCGCTGTCAGGCTGCCCGCGGAGCGACGGCTTCGGAGCTGGGACCTGGGTGAGTGCCAGGCTGGCAAGCGGCAGCGAGCCGAGGTTCTGAGTCTCTCAAGAAAAGAAACTAAGAAGTGGGTGAGCTCAGATGCCCTGAGAGGCTTCAGTCTGACTCCTTCATAGTGGAAAGCCTTGCGACAGATGCAGAACCAGGTCACTGAATGAACTTGCCTCGCTGATTCTCCTCACAAAAAGGGAAGGACGCGAGAGAGGGGAGAGGATGAACAAAATGAACAAAAACATATGGCATGAATCAAAGGTAGTGGAAGACCTTGAACTGTGAAGCATCCTGACCTATCATCAGTAAATGTAGTCTGGTAACCAACCGAACAACTCTACTATATGGAGTTATCGATCCAGAAAAACACAGCTCCATCTGCCCCCCATGCTGCCCACCGCACACGCCGCACACCCCCGGTTCTACGCCCGTTCAGGCCGTTGGAGCCGTTGCTTCGCCAAGCTTCATGACGTCCTGGAACTTGCCCATGAAAATGGAGGCCGACGCCTGGTCTTGCCGGAGCCGTGGATGACCGTGGCCACGAAAGGATGAAGCATGTTTGTTCCTCTAACCGGTTAGAGACCGTGGTGAACTGTACTGAACTCCACTTCCCATTCTTTCAGGGAGTGAACCAATATAGGTCAATATAGGTTGATCAAAGGTTGCAACTCTTCATAACTCTTGGGATCAACTCCAAACACGGAAGACCAATGAAGACCATCATGTTCCCAAAGACCGTTTCGCTTTCGGAGGAACCGCGCGTCGCGCCGCGCTCGGAAAGCCGGAAAGAACTGCACGATAGGTCTGCAGAAAGTATACTCTTTTCGAAGAAACAGGATGTTTTCCCCACCTGGAAGTCTCCAAAGTCACCTTTCAGCTTCAAAACGCCACCCGAGACACTCGTCTTCCACAGGACCTTTCCCGGTCCCTGGACACGGAGGGAGCGCCTGGACCGCTTCCTCTTCAGCAAAAGGGGTAACCTGTCGGACCATCGGATCTTTGCCTGGAAACGTCGGCGTGAAACGAGCAACGTCGACACTGGACACAATAAATCTCAAGAACCAAATGAGCAGTATACTTGGTTCAACTGGTGAATTCCGTTGAAGCGGCCATTATTGTCAACAGCACTAATGGTCTTGGAACCATCCACTCGTCTAGCCGCCCAGATGCTGCTGTTGCGACTGGTGGGGCTGTCGCTTTGTCCGCTCAGAACCTCGGTTAACGGTCGGGGCGGGCCCCGCCGTTCCAGATGAGATGAGGGAAATACATATACGCTATAGGGCTCCAAGGACCTTCTTGGAAGGTGTTTGGGGTGGGTTTAGAGGGTCCAAATACCTTCTAAGGAGGTACTTGGAGCCCTAGGGATATATATATATATATACCCAGACACGACCTGTTTGGGACTGGAATCTATGCCGCCCCCCTTGACCCCCCAAATCAACATAACCAACACCCCAACTGATCGGTAAATATACCATGCAGGACCATGGAGTGTCCGTGGAAATGGAAGGCAAGTGAGCCATGCATTTGCTCAAGCATATGAACACTAGCAGTATTACTATAAAATTACTGCGTCTATTGCGCATTCGCCAGTCCTGTTGCCAGTCCTGTCGCCAGTCCTGCATCCAGGTAGCCATAGTGAGGGGCTGAAACATCTCCACCATGCCCTGGCCATTCAGGTTATGGCCATTCAGGTCGACCTGACCATTCAACTCCACCTCTTCGTCTTTCCAAAGGTCTGCCTGCCACGGAGAGGAATTGCCTCAGGTCCGCATGACGTCAGATCAAAGCGAACGAAAGCGCCGAATTCATGACAAGCATCGTGAATTCATGAACCGACAAGCCAAATGAACTTCCAAGGGGCTCTGAGCTTCCGCCATCTTCCCGAGAGTCCTTTCCAGTTGAAGTAATGGTTGTAAAGCAGTTCTCACCTGTTGGTGAGTTTCCTGAAGAAAAGCCAAGCCATCCATGGCTCTCGCGGCCCCTGGCCACTGGGAAATGCTTACTCTCCAGGCGAGCGGCGCCCCCCGTGTTCCGGAGGAGCTCCGCGGAGCGGCTCCGCGCCGCTCGAGCCAAGACTCGGTCGAAACACCGGGAGCCTCCCTTGCTTTGGTGAAAATGAGATGCATGAAAACCAAGCCTGCGAAAGATAGAAATACCATGACCTTTGTATAGTATAGATATGCAACTAGACAGGTGCAATGTCTTCTTTCTAACCGTCCGTATATATGGAAATTGGACGCTTGTACAATCTTGTACAATTTAACCTATCTATAATGACTTGGCATCGGGCCATCATCGGAAATCAATTCACTTCTGGAAGACAAGCAGGGAAACAAGTGGCATACACGTGTAAAAATCATCTGGCCAAAAGTATCTGAGCAGGGAGACAAGCAAACAGACAAGTGGAGACAAGTGTAAAAACATCCGGCCAAGTGTATTCAGAGTAGGTCGAGACAAGTGGAAGACAACTGGAGACAAGTGTAACAAGAAGGGAGACAAGCAGGTAGACAAGCAGAAAGACGGGCAGGCAAACAATAGGGCACGAGCCTTTCCATGAATGATGGGGGTATCCCAAAAATATGTTATTGGTTGGTCTTTGGTCGAAGACCGAATGCTTGGGAGCATGATGCTTCACAGTCCAACAAACCTGCAACAGCCCCGAAAAACACGTGTTCGGCCAATCGTTGCCCCAATGGCGTGGCTTGTTGGTTTGGAATCCTGAGCATACTGGTGATGATCCATTTCACCAGGGAGCATTTCAGGATGCCTACGGGCCCCAGCCAACGGGGCGATGTTTGTTGATCAAGAAAACTCAGAGCTGGCACCTGAAAATCCTTGGTATGTTCCTTCCTTCACCAACCAGCCATGGCTTCCAGTTAATTACAGCTGTTAGTTTTCTGGTCTGTATTGCTGACTATTATCCATTATTAAATTATTACCCATGAAATACCAGTGAATTATCCATGATGATCCTTTGATTACCTAAGATCACCCATTGATGGCAGTAAATATTGCCCTTTGATTCACCATTGTTAACTATAGCATTAACTCTCCATCCATGTTTCTGCGAGTGTTCAGCAAGTTTTCCTGGGCAACGCATGTTACCTCGTGGTGCCTGCAGCCGGATGTTCTCGAATCTCTGGCGTCCTTGAATGACAAGCGAAGCAGCAAGCGTTAAGCAAACGAGAAAAGAGCCAGTGATGCCCAGGCTGGTTGTGTAGAATCCTCAGGATGGAAGCTTCAGGCGCAACGTTTGCACAATAGTGTCTGGCATCAGAACCCCCAAAACCCCAACGATGTTTTTAGAAAGACTGAGCAGTGGTTCTCCGAGGGCCCTGCGAGAAGCCATTGTAATATGATAATTGTAGTAAGTATATGATAATATCTCATATGAATATGATATTGAATATATTATATCTTATATATCTTAGATTGTCTTGATCTTGGAAACATCAAGGATTGACATAAACTGCCACACGCTCTTTTGTGACCATACTGCAAGCGCCAAACGCACAAGCAGTCAGTGTCAGCCCTGGAAAAAAGAGGCTGCCCTGGCTTTTCAGTGGCGGCTTGAGGCTCACACAATCAGGCTCTGGTTGCCGGGCAAAGCAATCAAAATCCAATGGCTCTCACTGGCAGCACCATCTGTCCAAGTAATCACATTGCGAGCACTATTGGTATCTTGGTTGAGGTAGTGCCCAAGCTGGTTCTTGATCTGATACATGCCTCCATCAAAGATGATAGACCACCTGGATTCTGGAGCCAAGTCATCAGTCCAAACCTGCACGTTGTTGCCTGCGCCACTGGAGCCGCCATTGACATCTTCGTTCAAGAAGTTCCCAGACCTGGCGTTCTGAAAGGCAAACATGTCAGCATCACCCAGTGTCTGGAGGACCCACTGAGACTCCAAGGCCAAATGGTCAGACCGCACCTGCACATTCGCACCGGCACCATGGAATCCACCGTGCGAATCGACGTCTTAATTGAGATACTGCTTGGACCAACTGTTCTGCACCGCATAAGTGCCCGGAGGCACTGACGCTTGGGCAGCTGGGCACACCAAAGCAAGCAGCAGCAGCTGGAACATGTTTTAGAGCACCTGGCCGAAGGTAAGGTCTTCCTGAATCTTCTTGAGCCAAAGCTACCTGGGATCTGCTGGTGCCCGTGGGGCCATGGCCACATATCTACTATATTGTATTACATTACCCAGACACGACTAATGGGACTGCCATATATGCCTACATTGATCCCTTTTCAACCACCCCAACTAATCGGCAGTCCTATGGCAGTCCTATGGCAGTCCTATTAGTCGTGTCTGGGTTATATGATGTATATGCACCCGGCAGGTCAAACATGGAACGCCATGTACCCCGCGGTCCACGTGACGCCACATCACATCTCCCCAGGGTTCCACACGTGACGCTCCCAAGAGTCCAGCAGGGCAGTCTTCAGATTTCAGGGCATTGCCTCCACACCCAGCGAGATGTTCAGGGTTTCGTGGTTGCAATGTGTTTTTGTGGGTGCAATGTACAATCTGTTGGTTGCTAGCGATGAAGATCCAAGATACATGCCTGAACCTTCCTTCGCTACAAAAAAAAGCGCTCGTTTTGCAAAAGTGCTCGTTCAAGCAAAAAGCGCTACAAACACTCAAAAATCGCACGTGGACCCCTCTCATATCCAACCCATGTTGGGGTGGTTCGCCACTTTTTAATTTGCGCTCGTTTTGTGGCAATTTGCGCGTGTTTTGCGGCATTTTGCGCGCATTTTGCGAGTTTCCACCTTTGGCCCAAGAAGACTTCAGTGTTCAACATTTTGAAAAATGCTCGTTTCATTAAAACTCATTAAAAAGTGCTCGTTTCATCAAAAAACGCTACGAAACTCCAAAAAGTGCTCATTTCCTTGGTTCGCCAGAAAAAAGTGCTCCGATTGAAGGTTCAGGTGTATATGGATGCGGGGCATAGTGGATGCCGCAACTCGTGGTAACGGACGTTTTGAATTGTGATGTGTCATTTGCTATGAGTGATTGTACAGTGATCAAAGGTTATTCATCAAGATTCTTTGCAGTACTCCTCTGGGATTCCCGGGGTGTGGCTGGATCCGGCGCGACGTTCACCCCTATAATCCTCCGTTGGATTCACACGACTACGGTGCCCGCAGCCATAGTCCACCTGTCCGCTTTTTTTGCCTCCCAGGTGTTCTCCTGTAACACCGATGCTCCACAGCACTACAGCGTCGCGGGTGTTCAACCTCTATCCAAAAGTCACACATCGCGGGGCCGATTTCTTTCCCAAGAACACGCCGGAAAAACCTCTGATGACACAAACACACAGGTTCTGGTCCCTCGGACTTCGGACCACCAGAAGGGCGTCGAAGATGAACCAGGGATCTTTCAAGCACTTCCTGTAGCGCAGCTCCGTGGCAACTGCCGCCAAGGCTGATGGGCTGCTCAGATTGCGTCGGAAAGCACCTACTTGGGGCTGTCACTCATTGCCATCACTGCTTATCAATTGTCAACCATTCTGAATTGTTATATATAATATATAATTAGTCGTTAGTTCTCAGACATTCACTATCAACCACAAATCTTAATAAGTAGATTTAACATTAAACATGGACCATCATCGAAAAATCGGTGGTTCGGTGAGCAGCAACTCGAACCTGGCATTGGGGATCAGCACATCGATACCAATGCCCGATGCTCTGATGCTCCAAATTTCGGCTTCACCATACGATGACCCCAGGGTTTATTCATGCGTGTGTTTTCAAGAAATCCTACAACCATTTTGACCAATTGTTCAAGGAATCCCTACCACCAAGTCCCCCAGCTGTTTTTGCAGCTGTTTTTGGTTGGAGCAAGGTCGGTTTTGTGACAGCATTTCACACCCATCACTGAGATTGTGACGTCCAGCCGAAACAGAAGAAGTGACGTCGGCCACCTGCGAAGCCAAGGTCAATGGTCGCCCTTTATGGGGAGAAAATATGGGAGAAAAAAACCATTCCATTTCAGTGAATGACAGTTTCTGAACCAGAATGATTTATATCAATGATGTATGCCTGTTTTCGTGATCATCCCATACCCCATATTATGGGACATTTCGGGTTAGCAGGTGCCATACGATAACATATCCCATATTTCATGATTGGCACCTATGTTGACGCAAAAGGGTACGAGGTACCAAAATGAGAGGTACGCGAAAGGGGGGTCGTGCAAGAGTGGGGATTCCTCATTGGGGTCTTCGCACCTTAGAAAATCATAATCTGGAACAATTCCTAAGACCTTTACCCTGGCATTGGAGACAACGACTATCAAATGAAAGGTCTACAGTTTGCAGCTGCTTACCCTGCGCGCGTTAGCACTAAGGCACTAAGAATTTGTTTCTGGCACCCTGGTAGAAGAAAATCAGCTCCCAAATGTGGAAAATGTCGCATTGGGGTATCTCTAACATACAGTGTGCCATCACACAGGGCGGCCAAGAGTATCTACGCAGGGAGACAAGCAAAGAGACAAGTAGAGACAAGTGTAAAAACAAGTGGGAGACAAGCACGGAGAGAAGCAAAGAGATAAGTGGAGACTAGTGTGAAATCAGCCGGCCAAGAGTATCCGGGCACACAGACAAGCGGAGACAAGTGTAAAGACATCCGGCCAAGTGTATCCAGAGTAGGCAGAGAAAACATCAGCCAAGGAAAGAGCCGGGAGACATTATGCACATAAGCCTTTAAAAGGAGAACTAACCCCATACAGGTAAAACTGCGTGGGGAAAAACTATGCAACTCCAGACTTGGGAAGACGACACATCAAAACATATCGGCTTGACGACGATCAAAACGACATGATCCAACAAACGCACCGCGTTTTCGTCACCGACAAAATCACAACATCGGCCTCGCACGGTGTGGATGTCACTATAGGGTTGATAGCGTGTCTTGCGTTCCAACATGAAGCACCAGGAAATCTCATAGAATAGAATGGTATTCAGGTATTCTTTTCAACTGAAGACCACATGAAACCACCATTTGCATCCATGAAGGCTCAGCCGTGCGCCGTAAAGGCCAGCCTCGCGCCCGGCCTCGCCCCTTTTCCATCCGATCCGACTCCAGGTGACGGACCGCTTTGGGCGGTCGCCGTTCGCCTCACCCGGACGAGCTGGAGACCTCCGGAGTGGAGCCGGACAGCGCTCGCTGGTCGGCTCGCTCGTAAGGGGCCAGTGAGGTCGGTGAGATGCTGGGCGTTTTGGGCAAGGTGAGGCGTTGAAAGGATCTCCGTTGTGTGCGAATGTCTTGCTGATGGGCATCCTCGCTTCTCATTGCATGGGGCAAGATGTGGTGATACCATGCATAGACCACAAAGAAACACAAGAGCAGACGCACGGCAAAGATGATGGAAGTGGTCTTTTGGGGATTTTTCGCGACAAAGTCGCTGATGTAGTCTGATTCTTCCACCATTAAACCAATGGATTTTTCTTCCAAGACCGTGTCAAAGGAGGTCTCAAAGGCCTTATCCCAGGAGATTCCAACCAACATACCCAAACCACTCATGACAAACCTTAATCCGGAGGCGATGTCTAGCTGCAGTGGATCAGATTGCTTCAAACCCTCGTCTTGCGGAAGCTCAAGCTGTGGAAGCTCGTGCAGCTCATGCTCGTCAGACGACGACGACTCACAAAGAGAGACCTCTCCGATCTTGCCCTCAATCCAATCTGCTAGCTTGTCAAGGAGAAAGACACAAAGAACGGCCATGATGGACATCAACAATGCATTGACAATCTGAGCACGGTTTGTAGCTTGCTGGTCTTCCATGTGATGGGCTTCTGGTTCACATTCGAGATGTTCGCAGACTTTCTTGAGATACCATTCCATGCGATGCCGAACCAACTGGAACAACCAAATGAGACCGGCACGCTGAAAGCACCAGCAGGCAGTCACAGAGAGGAGTTCCCCCCAAAACTCGTCGAGGTAATGAAGACACTCGTGAAGGTGGCACTCCTGCAAGTGCGAGCGCACACACGGCATAGACCAAATTGATGAGCAAACAAGCAAAAACACACCCACACCAAGAAGGACAGGAACACTGAAAGGCGGTTCTTCTCCGGGAACTTGAACTGTGATGGGCATGAATCTCTTCTCACACTTAGACTCCGTGCTGGTGGAGAAGCACCCAGCTTGCACAATGAGAAAGCCCACTGTGATGGCACTTGCTTCCATTTGCATTAACCGAGCTTGACCCACCTGTGTCTCTTTCTGGGTCAGAATCTCTGGCTGAAAATGCTCGGCAAGGCATAGAACCGCCAAATATGCGAGCACCATGGCGACAAAAGCCAGCAAAGGAACCGCGAAGACTATCCAAACTTCTTCGCAGGAGGACTTCTGAAAATATCCAAAGAAAAGAATCGCAGCAAAAGCCTCGATGTGGCCTCCCAGAACCTTCCTGCCATAAATGCGGTGCTCCCAGCCGTGCACATTTGGATCGACACACAGAAGGAGAAGGTGGAAGAGCACGAAAACCAGCAGGGCAAAGGCAAGCCTAAGCCAGTCCCCGTTGATCTCACGCCTATGCAAGAACCTGTCTATCCCAAAGACCAGGGTGGTGGCTGCGAAGATCGAAAAGGTGGTGCTCAGCAAGACCCAACTGGCCTTTCTCATGTCCGGATCTTTGCTATTCACCAGGTAGAGGATCCCAACCGAAATCACCACGAAGCCAATCAACAAGAATGCAGTGGTCCAAGTGACATCATCCAGCTCGTGAACATCGGACTCTCCAGCTGAGGAATTCTGACCCAAGACCGGCAGGGCGACTCCCCACACAGCGGGGAGGACCAGCCGCAGGACCAGCGACATCGGAGCCAATCGCTGGATTCGGTCCGAGACGATGGACCTCGAGTCCGAAAAACCGAGTGCGACAAATGCATGGTCAACGGTGCATGGTTTGGAAAACAGAAAGAGAACTTAGAACTCAT